AGGAGAATGGAGGAGAAGGGATTGCGGCGTGACCATCTCCCCTGGGGGGTGATTTCTCGCTTTCTGTCTCTATGTCTCTCTCTGTCTGTCTGGCGAGCGCACGCGCCCTACAGTGAAAATCTCTCCAAAAAAAAAAAAAAGAAGTTAAGGTGCTGGACACTGCCATGTGGTTCGAGTCCTAGACCTGGTGGCTTGCTTTCTCACTTTCCCTCTCTTTCCGTGTCTCTCTCTGGTCAAAATTAAAATAAATAAATGAATAAATAATTAAATACATTCTTAAAAAACATAGCTGTTGCACTAAAGGCTTTTGTAACTCGAGATAAAGTATCACTAAACTACAAAATAAGACTAAGGAAATTCACATTTATCTGATAATGACCTGTTGATGCTGTTTTTTGTAATACGAAGTATAGAATTCTGTCATGTTTTCTCATCCTTCTGGGTATCCAGCTTTTGCTGATGCATTCAGTTACAAACCTCCGTAGGATGACCCCGCTCAACTGAGTAGTGAGCTGACCTCCTGGCTGCATTTACATGCTGGATCTGGGGCTGAGGGAGGCTCAGCAAGCTCTCTGGGGATGGTGGTGACCCCTTCCCTGGGAAGATGAGTCGTGTACATCATCACTAGGGAGGCCGGGGGACAACAACGGCATGTCATGGTGCAGAGGATTTCTGGAGGGCCTGCTGTCCCCACTCCTGGGCTCTCAGTCAAGAATGTAATTGAAGCTTCAGGACAATAGCGTGTGAAAGGAAAGATGTCCCTGGTGTCGGGTGCCCTGGCAGCCAGACTCAGCAGCACAGAGCAGATGCTTGGCTTTTACTCAGGGAGCTGGCTGGGCTCCTGTGTCCTGCTCCACCCCCGAAACCCTCTCTAGGCAAAACCCACAGCTAACAGCTCGAGCTCCTGCCTCCTCCTGTCCACCCCTTGTGCAGACTAGAGGCACAGGCAAGAGCTGCGAGCTTGACAAGGGAGTGGAAGAGCAGCTCCGTGGATGCTAAGGATCTCACCGGAGGAGGACTGGGACATTATTTTGTGTGAACTCAACTTTCATTCAAGTGCCTTAGGTAACTTTCCAATGAGCGAGACCAACAAGCAGGTGAGCCCTGTCTTGTAGTGTCACTGAGATGTCCCCAGGGAGCCCCATCATGCCTCAGTGGACACAGGACCTGGGCATTTCTTCTGGGTGGCTCTGGGGGAGGTGCCTCCTTAGAGAGCTGGTGATGGCTGGCCATTTGGCATCTACTCAGGCCCTTTCTCTTCCCCCTGGACAAAAGCCACTCTTTGTACAGCAGTGCTGGTCTGGGGGGGCTCAGAGGGCGCCCTGATAAAGCCTTGCTCCCTTGTGATTTCAGGGGGAACATCCAACCGGGCTATCAGCCTAACTGGCCATGAGCCCAGCCCATCCCCATGAAGCATCCTGATGAAACAAACATCAGTGACGGCGCGAAGGAGAAAGAGCATGACGTGGAGGCTCGCAGGTGAGCAGGAAGGGGCTGGGGAGGGCCGCCGAGAGCTGATCCAGACCTGCAGGACTCTGCTGTGTGCGAGCGACTCGGCACAGCAGCCGACCACTGCAGAGAGCTGACGGGGCCAGGCCCTCAGCCAGACTCCGTGTGGTACCCTGTCCCGACCTGGATGATATGGGTGCTTCTGTCATTGTCCCCATTTTGCAGATAGGGAAATGATCACAGAGAAGCTGAGCGGCTTCAAGTCCCACAACCAGTAACAGCAGCAGTGATTTCAAATTCTGATCCTGTTTCAACGCTGGGGATCCTACCCCCCCCATCCTGCTGCCTCCCGAGCACAGCAGGCCACGTCTCCTTCATGGCTGTTTGCTGCCTCTTCTTCTGTTCTTTATCCAGTAAGGAAGGGTCTTCCCTAAGCTGAAGGAAGTGCCTCTGCGCAGGGCCTCTGAGTTCACACCCGTTTATTCACTTTTATCTACTCTGGGTCCAGACAAGGGGTATGAGAAAGAGTGGGTGGCTGTGGTGCACCCATGCTGTAAAGTTCAAGTCCGTGTTTCATTGGGGTGTAGTGGGGGGGGGGAGAACAGAGGACAGGTAGAGCTAGGTTGCCTGAAGGCCTCTACCTGTCCAATTTGGAAAGTGCTTTGTTTCGTTCCTTTTTTAAGAACCCGAAGTCTGGAAATGAAATAGGAGCTGTCAAGTTCCAGCTCTGATGGCATGTGCTGCAAAGCCCTCTGCTCCAAGGCCGGGACATTGTGTGTGGGGGGCCCAAACTCAGGTCTTGATCCAACCTACAGGCTGGATGTGGTTGTGTGCTATAGTTCCAGAGGCTTGGGAGGCTGAGGCAGGATGGCGAGCTCAAGGCTGGCCTGGGCAGCATAGAAAGACCCTGTCTAGGGACCAGCAGTTAGAGTAATGGCTATGCTGCTGAAGTCCCATGTAGTTGACTGCGGTTTGAGTCTCGGACCCGGTGACTTAAACTCATGCTGGGCACATGTGTATGCATGCCCACGATCCTGTGGGGATCATGGAGGAGAAGGGATTATGGCATGGCCATCCCCCCTGGGGGGTGATTTCTTGCTTTCTGTCTGTGTCTTCTTGGTGGGTGCACGTGTCCTATAGCAAAAACATGTCTTAAAAAATTAAATGTCTGCACTTAAAAGAAGTATTTTTTAAGCGTGTGCATTTATTTTCTCTGAATCAGAAAATATCCAAAAAATGAGTCCTAGTTATAAAAGCAAAGAATCTGAAATAACCCAAATGATCAAAACTAAAAGGGCTAGCCGTATAGAGCAGCAGTTAAGACCTGGGAAGAGGGAACCAGATCTCACCAGGCTGACCGTGGTTTGAGTCTAGGTCCCACTGATTTGAAAAACATGCCAGGAGCGTGTGTGTGTGTGTGAGCCCCAAATCTTGACGGAATGGGGAAATGGAGGAAAGAAAGACTGCAGTGTGACCACACCCCACTGAGGTTCGCCCTGTCGCTCTCACTCTGATGAGTGCATGTGCCCTCTGATAATTAAAAAAAGAAGAAAAAGGTATGGCACATTAACCAGGTGGAATATCATACAATGGTATCACGAAGGCTAGGTTTCCAACAGGAGGGTGCTTATGCAACATTTTTGGAATAAAATATAGTTTTGAATGGAAAGTCTTACACACACACACACAGGCAAGACACATGGAAAGTAAGTTATTGTTTTCAAGTTGTTGTGGTGAAATTATGGGTGGTCTTTTCTTCCTTTATAGATTTTCTCTATCTACATAATGCTTTGTACAAAAAAAAACTCAAAATGTACGCAGTAGATGGGGACTTTCACTTGACAGGTACATTATGATTTACCTTGCAACTTGGTATCCAAATGTGGCAAACAGCTTTTCATTTGAACTTGCAAATTGTTTCAATAAATTTGCATATCCCTTTATATACACAACACACCTCTACTGTTGTTACACAAATTTTATTAATTCTTCAGGGCAGAGTCTCTTTCACCCACACCTAATCATCCACAATAGTTTGTTTCTTGGGTTGGAACCCAAACTAGAAAAGCAAAACCCAGCAGTTCAGATTAGCACAGCAGGGAAACCACTTTTTCTCTTAAAAATTAGCCACTTCCCATCTTTATTAGATGGCAAATGGGTTATCTAGAGACACTCAGGGATCCTAACCCATAAGGAAAGCTCCATACCTGCCCTGGCTTCTGAAGTCTGGCAACCCAAGAGGATCAGGTGACTGTCTTCTCCAAGGACTATAGGGAACAGCACTGAGACATCGTCCCAGGGAAGAAGCATTATGGTAATTTTCATCCATTTACTTTTCTCACAAATCAAAGGCTTCTTCCAGACCTCCCTGGTGGAGGAGAAAGCTGATTTTACAGTCTCCAAGAGTTCGTGTAATTATTTATGCACACTCCATTCTTTCTTCTAAAGCAAAGGTATGGTAAAACCAAACATAAATAGCAGAATGTAACAAATGATGGGTCAGCAGATGGTGTGAGGTTAAGGTGGCAGGATCACTCATGGCTGACCATGGCTCGAGTTCCAGACCTGGCAGCTTGAAAAACACACCGGGTGTATGTGTGTGCATGCTTAAAAGGAGAAAAGATTGTGGTGTGGCTATTCCCCCAGGGGGTGGTTTCTTACTTTTCCTCTGTGTGTCTCTTGGGCAAGTACATGGGTCTGAGAAAACACACACACACACACACACACACACACACACACACAGACCAGGACTGACCATCATAAAGCACTGATCTTGCTGCCCCCATCACCACGCAGAATTCACGCAGAGGAGCCACCTCTACATTGCTCCAGCCTTACCCACTACCCAGTCAGCACCCAGGCAGCATGGAGAGGGTGACTCTCACACATACATAGGACTGTTTACCTTTCCCACCACTGGCTTTCCTCTGCAGGCAGTGGTTCCCACAGGTCCTGCCTGGCAGCTCAGGGAGAAGGAATGAGGGCTGAACTGCCTTCATTTACATCCACTGCTATGCCAAGCCTGCAAGCAGCATTCTGTGCTCCATCCACCTCCACTCAGAGACAAATCCAAACGCTGTTAGATGATGGGCTAACAGAATTACGTTCAAGGGCCAGTGCTCTGCTTACAAGTGAAATCTGAATCTGTTACTTGGATGCTTTCTTCAGCTCCTGTGCACAGATGCTGGACGACTTGGGAACTGTTAGCTTGAGCTTTGTTTCTGGGCCATGTGTCCAGTCAACAAATGTATTTTGTTTTTTATGTGTGGGGTTCTGTGGTCATACAATGAATGGCTTCCAGGGCATTGGGGCTGGGGAATTTCATTTCAAAAGAAAAACACTGCTATCACTTTCCCTAAGGACGCCACGCAGGCGGAAAAAGGCTCGGGGCTAAGGAACAGAAAACGGACTGGAGGAACCGCACTGCACACCATCGCCTCATTTAGTGCTCAGCCCATAGGAGGGAAGTGCGCCAGCATGGGAGGAGGCAAGATTACCACCTCTAAGGAAGAAGAAACTGCTGGCCAAGTGGTAACAGTAACCCGTGATCACACGTGAGTATTTCCAGGCCCCACACTACACGCCGTGCCTCGATGGAAATTCAACTCAACCGGCCGAATAACCCTGCGCAAGCCACTTTACCTCCCTAGGTCTCGTTTCCCTCTGGCCTCACAATCACAAAGCTCCTTCCAGTTCTGAATCAGCACGTAAGTGGAGGGCATCAGCCTTGGCAGGCCCTGATCAGGCCTGACTCAGCTCTTTGTTCTCCGTGGCCTTGGCAACAAACGGAAATCAAATTCTCACAGGCAGCAGGAACCAGCCTTATCCTCTGGGTCAATGCCCATTTGTCAAACATTTGGCAAAAGTTACATTCATATTCGTGAACCCTCAACATAGCTTCATTCATTGTTTGACACACAGAATTTATGACATCTGTTAGAGGAATGCGGCTCTGAAAACCCTCAATGTCAAAAAGTATACATGATGGAAAGAACACTTTTGTACAGTTCGACATTTGTTAATTTCTTTCCTAACCCCCGTCTCCAATTCTAGAAATGATGGCTCCCCGAGCACCCCTAGTCTTTTTGTTTTGATTGAAGAGTTCAGACTTCTTTTTCTGGTATATACATCTGACTATAGATTTTTATAAAATTACGTGTACAGATAGTGTTGATGAGTTGAAAAAATGGTTAACACACACGCAAATATTTGCTCAAGTAAAAAAAAAAAAAATTTCCCCAGAGAGATAAAAACAAAACAAAAACAAGGCTCTAAGTATTGAATTTTGGAGGATACAATTATCCATAAAAATTGGATTCTTTCTGTTAATGACATCTCTAGGCACAATTAGTAGGGGAACTGTTCTCTTCAATACCAGTTTCGGAAGGGTTGGAATCTATTCACAAGGCACTTTTTTTCCCTCTCAGTAGCCAATGGTAGAACTCTTGTCATAAATTCATAACGGTTTTGGAAGATGGTTATGTTGTTCCCTGTACTTGTTCTGAGTGGAGTTCCCCAATGTTGTGCTCTGAACAGGGCAACTTTTCTAGCTGCTCACTGAGAGATCTCCAACCTGGCCTTCCCACATCAGAGTACTTATCACTTTACCCTGACCTCGTAGGGTGGCGTGTTCAGCAGTTATCACACTGGTCAGACCCAAGGCGTGCACCGCGTGGAGAAAGGCGTTTTCCCGTTTATATTAATCTGAACGATTAGGTAACCGTTCCTCAAATTGGCATGACACTTCATAATTGATCCTGTCTGATCCCCGGAACCCAGAGAGGCAGATGTCAAACCACTTAACTGTGGCCATGTCAGCTGCTCAGCAGGAGACTCAGGCTACATCTTCTCAGTTGCCTCCTCTCCTATCTATACTTGCTGTTTCATCTACATCCAGTAGGTGCTTTCCTTCCTTTCTTTCTTTTGGTCAGGGGGCATGTGCACTTACCAGAAAGGGACAGGAGGGAAAAGGGGAGAGGAGGGGGGAGGCATGGTCACACTGCAATTCCTTCTCCATTTCTCCATCCTGTTGGGATTTGGGGCAGGCATGTATATGTGCCCAGTGAGATTTTCAATCTGCAGTCAGCATTTGAATCACATGGTTGCCAGCTCCCTTAACCTCCAGGCAAAGAGGCTGGCCCTAGGAGTTGATTTTTCTTCTGCTGTAAAAAGTCTGAAACAAGAGAAGAATCCAAACAGAGCTTTGGACTCATACAAGCCAGAGTTTGAAGCCCAACCCCAGTGCTTGAGAGCTAGGGGACTACAAGGTTTATGTGCCTCTTGGAGTCTGTTAGTAGAATGAGGACTGAGGTGAAGCTTAAATATCACTTGAAAGGGGATTAAGATTTTATAATATATAAGTGACATCTGAGTTTTTTTTTTTTTTTTTTTAAAGGTTTTTGTCATAGGGCACATGTGCTCTCCAGAGAAAGGGAAAGGTGAGAAATCATCTCCCAGGGGAGCTGGCTACAGTGCAATCCCTTCCTCTCCATTCTACTCTTGGGATTCTGGGCACCCCCCCCCACACACACACACACCCCTGGCATGATTTTCAAGCCACTGGGACAGGGATGAACTGCAGTCGGTCATGTGGGAGTCCAGCACCATAACCACCTGCTAGCCCGAGATTATGCTTACATATCATCCTTTAGATCAAGTTGGTGTTCATCTAACTTCAAGAAGACGAACAGTAAATGCATTCTGTGGGGTCTCTAGAGCACACGTGGCAGTTGGGAATAGTGGCAACAGTGGCATTTATCAAATATGCCCTAGGTGGCTGGCATGGTGCTGCTCGTGTGAGGTCTTCAAAAAGCTCATAGAAAATGCATCACAAAAGCCCATGGAGCTCTATTTTTTTTCTTTTTTGGGGGGTATCAAAATCACCATACTTTAATTCTATTTTTCTGTGAGCTTTTTGAAGTCCCCTTGAACATTGCATGGGTTATACATTCAATTCCCACAACAATAACCCTTGTGCTAGGTGCTAATCTCATCCCCATTTTACAGATGGAGCAAGTCAAGATTTAGGGATCTGACACATGAGGTGCAGTCTGATTAGCCTTGATGGGCTCCCAAAGTGAAAGAGTGCTGGGTTCAGGAAAGGTTTCCATGACCGGCATGAAGCAGTGGGGCCTTATTCTTGCTAAGGACCTGCAGGCGTGGCCTAGGGGTGGTGAAACTGAGGGAAGGCTGAGACACAGAGCATTTATTTGCCTTTAGCAAGTGGGGTTTAGAAGCCAGGCCTCCAGGCGACTTAGGTTCTCTCCTTGCTTTATGAGATGCATCTTTCTGTAGAGAGGAGATACTTAATGAAGAGCCATGGAAGACCAGCCTCCTACTTAATACTTCTGAGTGAACGTATTATAACTGCACCTAAATCAGTTTTCATTTGTCCCCATTCTACTGTTTGCCTTTATTTATTTATTTATTTTTTTAGAGGTTTTTGCTATAGGGCACGTGCACTTGCCAGAAAGACAGAGACAGAGAGACAGAGAGCGAGAAATCACCCCCCAGAGTAGATGGCTACACCGCAATCCCTTCACCTCCATTTCCCACTCGGGATCTTGGGCATGCAAGCACATGCACCTGGCATGACTTTAAGCTACCAGGTCCAGGACTCGAACCATGGTCAGCCACATGGGAGTGACAGTCATTACATCAACTGCTGGTCCCTGTTTGCTTTTTAGGAGAACATCCCTTTTGCTCCCTGCAGCATGAGTTAAGCCAACCAACACTGCTTGTGATCTGTTTTTGTTGGCCTACAAATGTTCGAGAGCTAGAGAAGTGGTTCAGGATATTTGCAGTCTCCCAGTCTGAGAAAGCAGAGACGTGTCGGCACTGAGAACTCGCATGAATTAGAATGTGGGAAGTCCCAAAGATCTGTTAAAGCGGTACTTAAGTAGAATCACTGCTGAGGGTCGACAACAGAATGGTACATTAACTCACCATTTGTTGATGGATATATGTATGTTATGCACACATGTGTACATATATAGATATATATAGCATGTGTGTATGTATGTGTATGCACACACACACATACATACATGCTATCGCTAAAAATGTAATTATATTGGAGGAAAAGAATCCCCAAACCAGTAAAACTACTAAAAAAGGCCTTTCTTGCTTGGTTTTACCTTGAATAGATCAAAATGACACTGCTTTCAGTGCTTCTGAGACGGTGACGCATAAGAAACCCAGCTTTCCTGGGCTCTGGGATATCATTATAAGAAACCATTTGTGAGGGAAGGTAGGACAATTCCACCATCTAAAGTTCACAAAGTCAAAACACAAACAAACAACAGGACCACCAAATTTAGAAAACGTCCTACAATGTGCATTTTATTCCATATCCTTCTACAACGTTTACATATAGTCATGACTCTTAAGAACATGTTTTCTTTACCAGTTGCATGTAGTGCCTAAATCTCTCATTTTAACGTGGAGCGATGCGGGTGGAACCCACATGGAATGCTGCCCTAGAATTGGAGTAAGCTGCACGTGTGCTGACTAGAAAGGGAAGAAGGAAGTCTTAGAAGAGCAGCGTGGCTTACAAACCCTTGGCTTTAGTGACTTCAGGCAGATGAGACCCATAATCTCATCTTATAGTAAAACTCAAGATAAAATAAATTAGTGTTGGACAGAATTATAAATTGTACAACATTGAACAAAAGACCACAGGGGGATCTTTTATCTAAAGTAGCACCGATCCACACCTGATTGTGCTCCCAACGTTGATTTTCCCGTTCACTGTTGTTGGCACTCTGAGTGGAGTCGTTCTGCTTCAGTGAGTACTCCTACACAACTGAGCGTACAGGGCCGCTAAACGCTCTACTGAGTGTGGCAACATCACCCTGGGAAATGGCACACTGAAACCACCACTGCCCTGCCATGGGCTTGCCTGTGTGTGTGTGTGTGTGTGTGTGTGTTTTCTTCCCAGCCCTCGACCTAGCAGGTATTTTGTGGATGTGTCTGTGACAGTGGGAAAAGTAAATAAAAAATGCATTTGAGGGGGTTTCATGGTAAGCAGGTGTTCCAAAACAAAACAAACAACGAAAACAAAATGAAAGAATGTGGCCGCAGCTAAGGAGGTTTTCACATGTTGTTTAACTCCAGTAAAGTCTGATCCAGCATCTGATGCATACTAAGGTTCTCTTCTTTGGCATGAGCCACTTTCTCTGTGGTGGGATTAGAAAATTAAGTCATGAATAGCTGTGATTAGGACACAAACGGGGGTAGGGGGTGTACATTTGGTCAAACAGTCACAAACACAGGGAGGTGATTAGAACTAGGCATGCTGTAAGACATCACTCATTTCCAGACCAGGACCTACACAGAGAAAGGCAGCTCTGACCCACAGGAACCACACACACAGCGGGTCCTCGGTACGGTCAGGTGCGCCTTCACCAACAAGCCACTCAGGACAAAACTCACGTGGGGTTTGGTGAAGGGTCACCAATCAGGTGCCATGGGAATGGGGAGAGGTAAAAACCAAATACAGCTTACAGCGCTATTACACAAACGGCAGAAGTTAATAACAGCAGACATTTCCGAGGTACAGGCAGTTAAGGTCTGGGTGCTGTGTGGTCACACAGTCTCACAGACAAGATGACATAACGAGGTTTTCTGACAACTTTGAAAATGCTTTATTTCTGTTGCTCATTTAAAAAAATGATCAACGTGTTCATGCACACTTCATTAGGACATTCTCCTCCTATTTTTACAGTGTCTTATTTATTATTTGCATGGCATTCTCTCCAGATTCCAACAGCACCGTTAGGCAGAATGAAGCATACCTTTCAGACAACCGGGGGCTTCTGACATGAGCTCCTGTTTTCAAAAGCTATTTTGCCCAAGCATAAGTACATTTAATCATATTTCAAACACTACACCAGATGTTAGGTCAGGAGTAGGAATGTGTAATAGGAATATATCTCTCTCTATAATATGCACTGACAGTGGGACTCACAGTTGTCTGTGGGAAATAGAAAACATTTTTGGTCCTCATTATGTATCCATTCAAATGAGAGAACCTGTTATTGCAAAGAGGTATGCTAAACTGACAGTTATAAATATTCACCCATATACGTGATATTATGTATTTTACCATAAAAGCTGTTTTGGGATGAAAGGAAGTTAATTATTCCAGGTATGTATAGAGGAAAATGCAGGCAAGGCCAGCCTTTCGGCTGAATTCTTTGCATTTGCTTTTCTGTACAAAGCAACGGTTTCAGCCCTGTTAGCTGGAGGTGGGACGGTCTTAGACTTCCTGCACATGGGCTCCATTCCTAGAATTCAGCCCCAGCTGTTTCACACTTAAGTTTAATCCTCGTTCAGGGCCAGCTTTAGTTCATTAGTCAGGCGGCGGTTTTGCTCGAGTTGCTGGTAGAGTTGGTCTGGATAGGTCAGCAAGCAGGTTAGCAGAAAAGAGGAGGCAGAGGGAGAAGGGTTAGCCAGATGTGGTAAGAGGGAGTTAACAGACAGAGAACACAGAGATACCTCGGCAGGTAGCAGCTGGTCTCTTGCTGGGCAGCTTTCCCTTACCCCACGGTCATCTGTCCCATGCCCAGAAAGGGTGGATGGTAAAAGGTCTGGCATTTAGGAAGGGCCAGAGTATCTCTTTTGGTGGGAAAGGGAGGGAAGGCGAGTACAGGATACCAAGAGGAGAGTGAGTGAATGTTCTCTTATACCTCACTAAAATCACCTCGTTGGGAACGGAGGTCAGGATGGAGGGGAGTCTGGCACTTCACCTACCCCTTGCTGGAGAGCCGAGGTGAAACCTCAACCTGTCCCTTCTGCCCATCTGGCCTCTCCAGTCCCGCACAGATGCCTCCGCCCCTGCCAGATCAACCCAGGTGGAGGCTACAGCTCCTGCTGATTTACAACAGTCAAGCTCCCTGTCCTTTCCCCAGTCACCCTGACTCAGGGTACACATCCTGACCTCCTGTCCCACTCAAATAGCAAATGAACAAGCATGTGTCTTCGTTTGACACCGATTTAAAGTGTATCTGCTTACTTTCTGAAGAAGGTGGCGTTCAAACATCTGCACCAAGGCCTGTGTGATCAAGGTCACACACTGATGGGCAATCTGGTCACACGGCAAGGAGGCGGACCACGAGGATCTGATGACCCAGTGACACCAAACAATGACATGACTGCTTTGGATGACAGTGACAACCTGGACCCAGAGATTCTACCTAGTGGTCCTGACCAGCTAACAACCCTATCCCTGGGGAAACGTGCTGTCTGCAGCCCCCAGCTCTGGCTGGACAGTGAGCAACTCTCTGGTCAACTTTCTCTCTTGTAAATGGTAAGAGAAGGGGATGCCATGTTTTGTTTCTAGCCTGGAACATTTGATGCCTTGTCCTTTTTGCTCATCCAAATTTTCTGAATATTCAAAACCCTAGTCAAATGTCACCTCCTCCACAAAGCTCTGTCAGGGCTGCCCTCTCCGAGGCTGGCTCTGCACACCCTGTCCACCTGGACTCGCTGCACTCCTCTCTCTGCCTGCAGGAGGACCAGCTCATCGAGGCCAGGGCTTCCTGCTCATCTCTGGGACACTCCTGCCACTCTCCACAGTGTCTTATATGTGGCATACACATGGGGTGCAAAATGTAACCCCACTGCTGCAATCACATTATCACCACGAGGACAGCCGCCACGGAGGGCTGGCGATCGCAGTTTGCTGAGTCAGCATTTGGCCAAGGTGGAAGGGAAGAACTTTGGAGAAAGTCTAGGGAAGCCAGACAGTGGGAACTCAGGGGAGATGGCAGTGGTCCCCACCAGTCTCCTCTGGACCTGCTCAGCTGCCGAGGACCTGGTGAGCCTGGAAAGCCTGAGAGCAGGAACTCGTTGGGAAGTACTTTTCCCCTTCTTCCACATGGACTCCCAGATGGGCCCAGATTCAACAATGTTTTTGGTTCGGTCCATCAGAGGCTCTTGCAGTAGCTGCGGCTAAGACCTGGCTTTCTGCTCTAGGAGGCCGAGCTCGGATAGTTTCTTTATAAACTCAACTTGCCGTTTATCCTCTTGTGCACATGCATACCTGGGGCTACTCCAGACCTGGCTTCCCAGTCCACTGGTTTCCCACTTCCCCTTACAGAATACACTTCGAGAAAGAGTGAATGTCTCCTTAAGGGTTTCTAAAAAACAGATGTGCTTCCAGAATTAGCTGAACATCTGCTCAGCGGCACTTGCAGACCTATCATTTTGTCTATGGTAGGAAGCAGGATTACTCAGAGAAGGCACACATCCATGCCTCCAAGTTTCAAAAAGGCACAAAGCAGGAACCAGGGACAAAAGCAGACCAGGGAGCCCCAGGGAAAGAAACACATGAAATTACAGATGTCTTTATACCCTCAAGTGAGAGACATCATTTGGATTCTAATTTTTTTTAAAAAAATTATTTAACTTTATTTATTAATTTTAATTTGACTGGGGGTTGTGGGGAGAGAGAAAGTGAGAAGGCAAGCCGCCAGATTCAGGACCCGAACCACAGTCGGCCATGTGGGAGTCCAGCACCCTTAACCACCTACTGGCCCTGGATTCTAATTTTTTTTTTTTTGAAAGTCTACTGTCCCACTATTAAAATACTTTAATTCACAATCTGCTTATAAAAAATGATGTTATTTCTCTGCTCTGAAGTCTCTATAACTGACACTATTTTAGGTTTGTCCACATTTATTTGAGTGCAGTAGAATATGAACCCTTTTCGGTTAACAAAAACTATACACGAAACAGATGAAGAGCACCTTCATTTAAAATACAGGAGAAATATAGCCAGGTTGTTGAGGAAGGAGAAACGGAGGGAATTAAGAAACAAAAGTCGATGTCATTTTAAAATTCTAATTTTGCAATATATTAAAAAAAATCAGTTGCTTGTGAAGTGAAATAGTGAAGCCCAAATAAAACAACTATATTCTGAACAATTTCTACCAACTACTTTTTTGTAGAAAAAGAAATCCACTTTCATGGCTATATTTATAAAATGTCCAGGTCGGCAGGGGGTGTGGAGGTTATGACACTGGCTCTCACATGGCTGGCTGCATGGTTCAAGTCCTGGACCCAGTGGCTTGAAAAGCACACCAGACACAGGTGTGTGTGTGTGTGTGTGTGTGTGTGTGCATGCGTGCACACCTGAAATCCCAAGAGAATAAGAAGGGAATGCAGCATGGCCAGCCCCTCTGGGTGGTGTTTTCTCTTTCTCCCTCTTTGCCCCCTATGAGTGCACATAACCTATAGCAAACTTACAAAAAAAAAAAAAAAAAAAAAAAGTCTACACATGAAAAAATAGCTACCAAGCATGAAATACATACACTTCCTCTTAAAGAATATACCATGTGCTTAAGAGCAGGAAAATAAATCACAACTTAAACATGGTAATCATATTTAGAAAACCTACAATGTCATTTTTGTGATCACAATGAGGGTGGCCGAGTAAGAATGAAAACTTGAGCCCCTCTTTGTGCTGTGAAGTGATGGTGAATGGTAACGGCAGTGCACATGCTTGAGTTCAAGTCCTCCTGCAACGTTCCCGGGATGGGAAGTCCTGACCGTGTGGGACAGCTATGAAGCCATTCAGAAGCCCTTCATTACTTCGCCATGTCCTTCCTACATATCGGCCCTGAGGGGCCACCACACCCCAAACTAGATCTCCGGCAGAGTAAACACTGCTCGAGCCAGATCTTCTAACTCCCAGTAAGCAATGTCCCCTGTGCAAGTAATGTCTCAACCCTGACTCCAGGATCATCACGATTCTTTTAAAAAACAAAACAAAACAAAAACCGCATGCCTGGGCCTTGCACAAACCTTTGGAAACCAAAAACTCCAAGAAGGATGCAGGCATAGGTGTTTTTTAATAGTTCCACAAGAAACTACTGCTTTAGAAACTCTTGATATTAAGGAACAATGATAATAAAAAAAAAAATAAAAAAAGGAGGGGAAAAAAGCAGCAGTCAAAAATTCACCCTCATAGGGAACCAGCAGTTAGCGTAATGGCTATGTCGCTGGACTCCCACGTAGTCAACCGCGGTTTGCGTCCCGGACCTGGTGGCTTACAACTCACGCCGGGTGCGTGTGCGTGCGTGCCCAAGATCCCGAGAGGAGAATGGAGGAGAAGGGATTGTGGCGTGACCATCCCCCCTGGGGGGTGATTTCTCGCTTTCTGTCTCTATGTCTCTGTCTGTCTGGCGAGCGCACAAAAACCTATAGCAAAAACCTCTCAAAAAAAAAAAAAAAGAAAAGAAAATTCACCCTCATATGCACAAAGCAGATTTGTAGCTTTATTCGGTGTTGAAACTAAAATGTCAATAAATAAGTAAAAAGAATAGCAAACAGAAACAGCTTACACAGTGTTTATTTTACACTGAAACGAAGAGCTTCTGTACAATAGGAAGCACAGTGTGTCCTGGCCCTAGCAGATGCTATGAGAAAGAGCCAGGGTCGGCTGGAGAACAGACAGATGCAGAGTTCAGAGAGGGGAGACATCCAGCTTGATGAAGGAGTCTTGGGAGAAGTGAAGCAAAGAAACTTATCTGCATGGAGAGAAAAGGTGGGAGAGAAAGAAAACAGTGGCACAATGGAAAATGGCAAACCAAACCAGCAGGTGAGAGGGGCATTTAAAACACGGACAAGAAGCAGACATGCAAAACCCACTGCCAGCTGCTCCTGGGAGGGTGTCCATCCTCGCCCACCAGCATCTGGACCCACAGCCATCATAGGCCCCCTCTGGGCCTCAGGGTCCATTTCAAGAAGATTCGTGAATGAATTTAAAAACAAATTTTAAGCTAAATCCACTGTTTAAAATATTTAATCATACTTGGTGCTAAAAGTTTTCTCCAAAGAATCACATTTTAGTACTGGAAAGGACCTTGGAGACCGACGATCTGATGCACTCCCCTCACGGACACATGAGGGAAGAGGGCATGGGATGCTCTGTTTCCATGGTGACAGTCACGTCTCTAAAGACTTTTTAAAGGAATTTGGGGTGATACTGGAATGGAGAACCCTCTGTGAAACATTCCAGGTTAGAATTAAGAGCCAAATAAGCTCAGCGTCTAAGATCGGTTAGTAATATGTGCATTAGTGGTATGTGCTCAAGGCTCTTCTGAGAGCAAGCATGCTTATTCTGATCCTTATCGTCTCATGGTAAATCTGGGTCATTTAACTCCCAAATGCATGTTGTATAATCTGTGTTTCACCTCCTGTTTGGTGGACACAGGTTGTGGTAAACATTTATTGTGGGTATTTTCATTCCTTTTATATAAACATAGAAGTTAAAGGCTTGGTTACTCAGCAGAAAGCCCATTTGGTACTAGAATTCTTACAAGCAAAGAGACGATCCTTTATAGCACGCTCTTTAGGCTGTACCAGATCACAGCAATATCCTTTTC